TACTTTTTGTATGTATAATCTTATTTAATCTACATGTCCACCCGCCAAGGTAGGTACTACTATTATTATTCCCATTATGCAGAAGAGAAATGAAAGCAGACAGAGGTACTCAAAAATCTGTTTGAAATGACTGATAACAAAATTAAAATAACTATAAGCTTCAAAGGAAGTATTACATTGTTAGCAATAAGTACACTTGACCCTTGAACAACTTGGAGGTTAGTGGGGCCAACCCCCTGTGCTGTCAAAAATTCGCCTATAACTTTCACCTCCCCCGAAAATGTAGCTATTAATTGCCTACTGTTGACCAGAAGCCTTGGTGATAACATGAACAGATGATTAACACATATTCTGTATGTTTGATGTATGATACCCTGTATTCTTACAATAAAGTAAGCTAAAGAAATGAAAATGCTAAGAAAATAATAAGGAAGAAAATTTATTATTAAGTTGAAGTAGGTCATCATAAAGGTATTTTTTTCTCATCTTCTCCGTGTTAAGTAGTCTGAGAAGGAGGAGGAAGAGGCGGGTTTGATCTTGCTATCTCAGGAGTGGCAGAGGTTGCAATAGGTGGAGGAGGTGGACGAGGTGGAAGAGGAGGCCAGAGAGACAGACACAGTTAGTGTAATATTTGCTGGAAAAAAATCCACATATAGATGGACCTGTGCATTCAAACCCATGTTGTTTAAGGGTCATCTGGATACAAAAGCTATAATAACTGCCAGGATATGGTCATTTCTTAAGGTAGGCAGTTTTGAGATTAATAAAAAGTGTGTATGCCTGCCCTCATGCCCACACCTGAGAACATATGCATATAAAATCAGGTTATGATCCTCAAGAAAATAAGAAGAAAAAAACTGATAAATTATAAATAAAGTAGAAATAAACAGGCAAAGCAATTCCCATGTCTTCATCACCTTCGTGATGCCAGCCGGCTACAGCTAGAATATTGGCATTTTCAAAGAGTCGTGGTTTCTGGAAATCATTTGTTACTAAGTGATGCCTTATATGAATAGGAGTCATAGGACACTGGCAACACAGCTTAGAAGCAGCTTCTTTCCACAGTGGGCTGCTCACTGTCACTGTCACCAGCACGATGGTGTCTTTGAAACTGTGACAACTCTAGGGTCATGCAGCCATATCTTTCAAATATTTCCTCTCAGTACCTATCACAAAACTCTCAACATGTAAACTTAGTTGAAAAAAAAAAAGGTTTTGAGATTTTAGATTAAAGGGCATCTATGCTCATTAAAGAATACATTCATCACCAAATTTTAAAAAATGAGAGAAAGAATAAAATCATTTAAGTAACAACACATCAACATAACCACTAATGAAGTGTGGTTATATCTTCTTATAATCTGTTTTCTCTGCATTGAACTGTTTATTTGTTTATGCAAAACAGATGAATAACTTTGCCAGAAACAGGATAACTATAAATTTGATAGGCACATGCCTCCCAAATAATGTAGGAAGACTATTACCATGCAGACTTACTGAGTTTGACTTATATAATAAAATAATACAACAGAAAATCTCTAGCCAGCCTTCTAGATAGAGAAGAGTCACAGGGCTACAAGCTGATGCCACCAATATATACAACATTGATTTATATTATAAGAGAAAGGGGATTTAATAAAAGAACACTTTTAGTAAAACTCTGATAAATGGCAAAGATTTAAATAAAGTTTTAAGAGATACAAATGTGAAGAAAATACAGATTTGAAATTCATAATTAATAATATAAGAATTGGTAACTGGTTGTAATTTTTACAATGTTTAGCTTTAAAAAGAAGTAGAAAGAAAAGGCTACTTCCCAGATTAAAAAAGAAAGGTTGCTAGCAAAATATTTATCCAGTCTTATGCTGCCATCTCACTTGACCTCTTGACAGAGAAGACTTGCTCAAGTTTAATCATTAATGGCTTAGTTTAATAATAATAATACTAATACTCTAATAATGGTAATATGAACAATGATAACTGTAATTTATCAATTACTTCCTACGTTCTCTCCTTTGTGGCACTTCATTTTTCCACCAAACCATGTGAATTAAATACTGTTTTAACATCATTTTAAAGAAAAATTCTAGTGGCAAATCACAGGCAACATCTACTCTTGAAGAATGCCATGCATGTGCCCAGATGGACAGAAGTAGTTTATGGAAAGAGTAGCTAAGCACTCTGAAAGATTTTTCCATGAGATCCTATTTTCCCTGAATCATAAACCAAAGATAATTCAGAGGTAGATTATTCAAACCACTTGTCTCTTCAGAACTCGTTTGCAGTTAAATCAGTAAGACATTTTATTATAGCTCTTCACATTTTCCAAGCTACTTTTGCTGTATTTTGCTATAACCCTTGAGGTAGATGAGTATTGTTATCATTACATGGATGAAAATGTACCTTGATCATTAAGAGTTATAATGTCAGACTTCCTGAGTTTGTTCCCTGACTTATTCACTTAATAGTTATGTGCATTTAGACAAGTTGTGTACACCCCTCAATATTCTCATTATGAAGATGATGGAAGTAACTACATCATAGGTTTGATATGAATACTGAATGGAATAATACCAGTAAGGCATTTAGGACATAGTAAGAGCTCAATGTATGTCAGTTTTATTAAACCTGTTTTACAGTTGAACAACCTGAGGCACAGAGTCCAAAGTCACAGACAGAGTAAGTGTCAGACCAAGAATTCATAGCTCTGACATTTCCTTCAAAATTGTTGTTCTTCCCCACTTCTCATTCTAGCTGTCTCCAAACTTGACTTGTAGACCTGAAGGCAGGCCAAGGCCAAAGAATTATTTCAAATGATCCTTAAGTTAATATAAAAAAACAATAATAACTGTGCCTAACTTTTGTGGAGCACTTACTATGTGTTAATCACTGTGCTAAATTCCTTACACATATTCTCTTACTTAATCCTCAAAATCCTATTTAGATGGATGTTATACTTCCTCCTTTTACAGATGAGGAAAGCAAGACCAAGAATAGTTAAGTGGTGAAGTAATTGCCAAAGAACACACAGCTACTTAGTTCTTAAGCCAAGAATCAAATTCAGGCAATATGACTTCAAAGTTCAAGTCTTTACCATTCACCTTCATCTATTAACTAAATAACTGACATCATCTTATCACTAGAGTTCATCATGCTTAAAAGCTGGACATACTACATTGCCCTCCACCATCTCATCATCAAAGAATACCAAATGTGGTATGTTTTTGTAAGCACACATTCCCACATGTTTACAACATTGGCTAATTTAAGGAACCTATGTTCCCTATTTGCTTCTGGAGTGTGTAAGATAAACTATCACCATAAACCTAAGAGTACTCTCATTAAATGAAATTATTGTCTTTCATGCTTTAAATTAGAATGTGCCCTCATCTAGGGTGTTAAACTGCCATTTTCTTTGATTTTATGATTTTTTTCCAGCATGTGTATTTCTGAATTTCATTAAATATGTATAATTTATGGTTATTATGCTTTTAGGTTATAATTTGAAGACTAAATATACACATTAAATCAACTGTAATGCAGAATATATTAAATTAGATGATATCTAAGATCCTGATATTAAGATAGTCTGCTTCATGGTTTAATTTCACATTATATGTATAACGTGTATATATACCCCCATGGTTTAGAAGTTTAGAAGTTTTAAAGGTATCAAAGAATATTAGTAAAGAATATTAATGCTTCCTCCTTTCTTCTAACCACAAAATTCACCTTTCCTTCCCACAAGCAACATGTTAGGTTTTGTTTATCTTCCTAGATATATTTACATACATTTAATAAAATACATTTATACATTTATGTACCTATATCTCCCTCTCCCTGTTTTTATACTTATGTACATTGTAAGGCAGGATACTTCACTTGGAATCCTATATCATGTTTTATTGTTAAGATTGTTCCCTATTGGTACTAAAGGGTTTCCTGTTTTATTATTGATACATATTTTACTACTTTATTAATGAATAATAATTTTTAAATAGTCCTCTATTCATGGCCATTAAATTGTTGCTAATCTTATGTCATAACAAATAATGCTACAATGAATAATATTGCATATACACCAATTCACATGTGTGTGAGCATATCATTTCAGTAGCACAAATTCCTAGAAGTGAAATGCTGGGTTAAAGGGTATGTTTATTTGCAATTTTGATAGATATCACCAAATTACTTCCAAAGGAGTTGTTTCAATTTATAATCAATACTAAATAATGAAAGTGTATATATTGGGTTTTTCACTGATGCTAAGAGTGGGGGATATTAGTATTTATGCTTAATGCTTAAATAAAGTTACACATTGCACATTCTGGTGATGTTGGCAGGTGTCTTGGCACCAAGGTTAAACAGTATAACCCTTAATTAAAAACATAATACACTGTCTATTAATGCACTAGTGATGAGAAAATAAATGTCTTTAACAGCTGCCTAGATTCTAAACAATAAATATATACCCAAAAGTTCAATGCAGTTCTTGGAAGATAAGAATTAACTATCACAGAAGATCATATTTTTCAGTTGTAGAAAAATCTCATTGACTTCAGTGACTTTATTTCCGTAGAATGGTTACTTTTTATAGGTAACTGACAAGGAAACTTGTTCACAATTTTCACTTTAAAAGTTTTTTAAAAATCTCAAATGGCAGAGTTTCTGCCAAAAACTTCTTGTAAAATCAATTCCTCCACTTCTTGAGAACCTATTACATGGTCTGATTTCCTTATAAAGGTTGTGTAATGTAATGTGTCCAACAACTCTCTGAGGTTAATGGTATCAATCCAGCTTTAGGGGCAAAAAACTGTGGCTTATCAATATTAACTAGCTCAGAAGACACAACTAACAAGTACTGGTAAGTAAGAAAAAAAAGGTCAAGATTTCCCACAAGTACCGGTCAGAAATGAAGTAGAGAAAACATCATTGAATGAATAAATTAAATGTGCGGTAGGTATACGCCGTCCTGCGGCTACCTAAAACAAATGTCTTACCTCAAAAGCAGATGACAAGGAAGGGACTACAGGCTTCAGGTGACCAAATCTGTACAGCATCAGGAACATCAAGCAACGGAGAGTTTCCATAAAAGCTGCCGTGGGTCTGAAATAAAATGTCATTACATGCATTAGCTTTAAATATGCTCTTTACATGTTTACATGTTATAATTAATATAGAGATAAACTTTTCATTCTCAAGAAATACCTAGTATTTAAATATATTTGAAAAGCATATCCCCGAAGCTATTTGAAAACAGTGATTAAACTGAGAAAGAACACTCATCCTTTTAGGGAAAATCTGTTCTTTTTTTTTTTTTTTTTTTTTAGACGGAGTCTTGCTCGCTGGAGTGCAGTGGCACCATCTCGGCTCACGGCTCACTGGAAGCTCCGCCTCCCAGGTTCATGCCATTCTCCTGCCTCAGCTTCCCTAGTAGCTGGGACTACAAGTGCTTGCCACCACACCCAGCTAAATTTTTTTTTTTTTTGTATTTTTTAGTAGAGACGGGGGAAAATCTGTTCTTTATCAACATATTGCTTAGTTTGAGCATTGATGAGTTATGAAGTTTATTTTCAGCTAATAAATAAAATATTAGGCAACTAAATTTCTAGGTTTTAAAGTAAGTGAGACTCTTTTCACTGACTGAATGTCTTCATACTTCATTCATTTAAAAGATGAGTAGTTAGGAGAACTGATATAGTTAACTTCTCTAAAATAATGAAAAGTCAAATATCAAAGTTTTATATTTATTTTTTAAACTACACTATAAAGTTACAGAATATACTGATATTTTACCACTCTGTGGAAAATTCTTGAATTGAGTAAAAGTAAAAACAATGCAAAAATTTCACTTCTTGCCTTTGATCCAGAAGAAATCCAATGGAAGTCAAGGTCAGGATAATGAAGCAAACTCTCAGAAGGAGAGTCACTTGTGACAGTGCCTGTCAAACAAACACAGAGATCAATGGAGCCGTTAGGAGAATTGTTAAAAGGTATAAGAACAGTCAAAGCTGACAAAACAACCCAAATTTTATGTCCTATTACACCACTTGTCATTGACACTTTACAGAAAGTTTGACTACGCAGAAAACATTTCGGTTTTCTTAAAGTCATTTAGTTCCTTGTTGGACAGTTGGAGAAGTAATCAGACAATTCCATAATGATATTTTGCTTAAAGTGTTCATCATCATTTAAAATTCTCCTTTAAAGTTTTGACTTTTATAGTTTTTTTGAAACATGTGGATCCCCCACATATGGATAAATTACTCACATTTTAATGAATAAATACTGTATTCTAATAGCTATTTTTAGTATAACAAAATCTTTGTGGTTTCAAATGCAAAGCTTTCTCTAATATAGAAAATATTTAAAGGAGACTGTGTTTATGAGTGAAAACATATATATAAAAGAAATTACACACATACAGTCATATTTGATTCAATATACATGCTCATATATACATGTCAAAAGCTATCTTTTTAATGCTTAAACATTAAGCATTAGTGTGCTCTTCATGTTAATATGGCAGAGTTTTGTAAACTAAATTAAAACTTACTGATATATTGGACTTTGAGCCAAGGGAAAGAATGAGTACTATCTTTCCAGGTATCTTAAGGGTAAAAGCTTATTCTAAGACAGTCTGTCCTTTGAGATTATTAGATTTCTGACTTGCAAATATGCTTTGTGCTCCAGAAGAATTAGAGGAAAAGCAGATATCAGAATTCTAATTTAAGTACATGTACAGCAGTCTTTGTTTATAGTGTAAAATTCTTTATATTATGTATAAAAACTAATTCTTTTGGAAAAATGAACCATTTACAGCTTGTTTTTGGACTCTGAGTCAAAGGATTTTTTCCTTTAAATGCTTGTCTCAATTTTAGTCTGGTCTTTTGTACTTTTCTTCAGGAAAAATGAATTAAAGAGTACAGTTGCATAAAGTGGGTTTTTATCCCAATGTACTGGAAATAAATGATAATGTTTTTAAAAAATTATCTTTTGAATCATTGTAACAGAAAACATTTTTCTGTCAGAATTATAAATTAATATGCATTTAATTTACATATTAAAATTTAATAATGTTTATTGAACATCTACTATTTTACAGCTTCTATGGCATGGGTTTCTTGTACTTTAATTTTGTTACATTCCCAATGACTTTGCAGAGTAGTTGTCATTTAAAGGAGACTGTGTTTATGAGTGAAAACATATGTATAAAAGAGATTACACATATACACTTGTATTTGATTTAAAAAAAAACAAACTTGGTTTTATTTAAAAAAAAAAAAAGAACACAATCTGGGAAACAAAAGATTATCTAACTTTTTCCATCATTACACAGAAAGTAAATAACACCTCCAAAACTCAAAATAGGCCTGCCTGATCACAAAGCATGATGATGGTAGAATACTATGAGCAATAGATTTAAAGGGGCATATACATATGAGCAATTCACTTGAGGCCAAGAGTTCGAGACCAGCCTGGACAACATGGCAAAACCCCATATCTACTAAAAACACAAAAATAATACAAAAATTATCCAGACATAGTGGTGGTGCATGCCTGTAATCACAGCCAATTGGGAGGCTGAGGCAGGGGAACTGATTGGGAAACTGGAGAGGAGGTTTCAGTGAGCTGAGATGGCACCACAGCACTCCAACCCAGGCAACAGAGTGATATTCTATCTCAAAAATATATATATATAGATATATATATACTTTAATGGAAGAGTATTGTCAAGTGGTCAAAAACCTGAATATAAAAGTATTAGAATGTTTAGGAATAGGGGCACAATGATAGGTATTATATACAAGGATGGGAGTCTGTGAAAGCCAAACGTCTTAGATCAGAGCAGGAGAGTGCTATTCATATTTCAACACGTGCAGGTCAGCGATGCCGCGTAGGAAGAGTGAGACCAAAAAGCAAACAAACAAAAATACAAAAATAACAACAACAACAACAACAACAAAAAACAGATAAATACTTTCCTGGTGGTAGAAATCACTAGGTTTTTAGTTACTTTGTTTGAATAAAATGGCTTCTCACTATGTTATTGCTTCACTGTGGTTATTGGCGGGAAAATTTACATAAAAAGGAGAAATGATTTGTGTCAAAATCTATAGTATGATTACAAATGCTCTTTAAAAACATAGAATTTATAATTATTTAAACCTATCACCCATGTAACCATGAGCAAATTATTTGACATTTTAAAGCCTCAGCTATGCATTTGGTACATTTGAAATAAAATACGCATTTGGCAAGGCCTGTAATCTTATAAAATACTTAGAAGAGTGTTTGGCTGGAAGTAAAGTCAATTGATGGTCATGGTTAGTGCTATTGTTTACTATGTTCAGGAGCTTAGGCTAATCTTAATTAATTACAATAAGATAAACAACAGAGAAGCATAAATAGAAGGTCTATTAGCTCTTCCAGATGTCATAGAAAACTCAGAGATGGAATACGTACATGTATTTACTTTGGTTAGGAAATGTGTAATGCATGGACAATAGAGATAACTCTCTTTACTAAACTGCATCTGAAACTACTGGAATCAGAGTGGGGGAAACCCAGCTTGATGTAGAGGAATCCACCCACCCTAGTCAATATCTCTGACTGGTTCACAGGCAACTAGGCTTCGACATGACTAAACACTACCTTTGGGCTCCTCCTCTACCATATATTCCCTAGTTTTCTTCATCTTAGAATATGACACCTCCTAGCCTTCAGTTACTGAAGACAAAGACCTGTGACTGGTCCTTAACTTTTTCTGTCACTATCTACTTCTAATACATCAGGGAATATATTTAAAATAGATCCAGAATAAAACCATGTATGTTGTAAACAGCACGACTAATGCCTGTTCCACCCCAAGATGTTCTCTCCAACAATTGTTGGAAATACTCTCTAACTGGTCTTCCTACTTCTAAAATTACCTGTCCACCTACCACAGCCCCCAACCTACAGTACGCAGAGTGATCCTTTTAAGCTTAAGTGAGATCATGCCACACATGTTCTAAACCCTCCAGGGAGCTCACTCCAGAATAAAGCTAAAGTCATCACTCTGAGAAAACTGCTACATTTACCATACCCACTCTTAATCCCTAGTGATCTTTCTCTCTTTAACTCATAATAAACCATGTCAGAAATGTTCCTGTTCCTGGACGTGACAAACATTTTCTCCACTCAAGTCTGTTTCACCCAGTATTCCTTCTGCTTGACTTGACTTCCCCAATGAACACTAGGGCACATTTCATTCAAGTCTCTATTCAAATACATGTCCTTGTCCCTCTGACACTTAAAATAGTATTTCTCCATAACTCTCTATAACCATTTTCTGTTTTATTGCTCTTCATATGATTTATCACTTCTATACACTTATATGTTTGTTGATGCATTCTCTGTTGTCTGTCTCCTCTTACTAGAATTGTAAACTCAGTGAAACTTTTTATCTCTTTACATTTGCTGTCGTATCCCAAGTGCCTAGAATATAACTGATATTCAATAGATGTTTATTGAATGGCTGATAAAATGAATGAATATTTTATATTTGTGTTTATTAATATATTAAATAGTAATAATTTTATTACATTGCTAATATGATATTTTAAGAGAGAGAAAATTGAATCTTTATTTCATTTTTACAAACTCAAATTTATTTTAGATTCAGGATACATTTGCAGGTTTGTTACATTAGTATATTGCCTGATGCTGAGGTTTGAGATAGGAATGATCCCATCACCCAGGTAGTGAGCATAGTATCCAACAATTAGTTTTTCAACCTTTGCCCCCTTCCTTTATTCCCGACTCTTAGTCCCAGTGTCTATTGTTGTCATCTTTATGCCCAGAGATTACTCAATGTTTAGCTTACACTTATAAGTAAGAACTTGCAGTATTTGGTTTTCTGCTCCTTCACTACTTCACCTGATGTGACCTCAGCTGCATTCATGTTGCTGTGAAGGACATGAATTCTTTCTCATGACTGCATAGTAATCCGTGTTATAAGGAGCTTAGGCTAATCTTAATTAATTACAATAAGATAAACAACAGAGAAGCATAAATAGAAGGTCTATTAGCTCTTCCAGATGTCATAGAAAACTCAGAGATGGAATACGTACATGTATTTACTTTGGTTAGGAAATGTGTGATACGTGGACAATAGAGATAACTCTCTTTACTAAACTGCATCCTGACTACTGGAATCAGAGTGGAAACCAGCTTGATGTAGGAATCCACCACCTAGTCAATATCTCTGACTGGTTCACAGGCAACTGAAACTCGACATGACTAAAACACTACCTTTGAGCTCCTCCTCTACACCATATATTCCCTAGTTTTCTTCATCTTAGAATATGACACCTCCTAGCCTTCAGTTACTGAAGACAAAGACCTGTGACTGGTCCTTAACTTTTTCTGTCACTATCTACTTCTAATAGTGACACTATCTACTTCTAATAGTGTTGCTGTGAAGGACATGAATTCTTTCTCATGACTGCATAGTAATCCGTGGTATATATTTAACACGTTTTCTTTATCCCATCCACCATTGATGAGCACTTAGGTTGATTCCATGCCTTTGCTATTGTGAATAATGCTGCAATGAACATATGAGTGCATGTGTCTTTTGACAGAGTGATTTATTTTCTTTTGGATATATACTCAATAATGGGACTGCTGTGTCAAATGGTAGTTCTGTTTTAAGTTCTTTGAGAAATCTCCAAACTGCTTTCCACAGTGGCTGAACTAATTTACATTTTCACCAACAGTCTATAAGTGTTCCCTTTTCTTTTTAGCCTCCCTAGCATCTGTTGTGTTTTGACTTTTTAATAATAGTCATTCTTACTGGTGTGAGACAGTATCTCATTGTGGTTTTAATTTGCATTTCTCTAATGATTAGTGATGTTGAGAGTTTTTTCATGTATCTGTTGGATACTTGCATGTCTGC